AGCTTTGAATATCTTCAGGCAAGTTGCTAGATACCTTCCCTGAAATTGTTTGCCCGCTACCCCTTCTCCAGCAGCTGACGGGGATTGTCATAGGCGGTCTTGACAGGAGAAGATTTCTGTGTCAAAAACCCTCCAAACTCCGAAGTATCTACCCGGTTCTTGGAGATGTGTTCATCTTCACCAACTGCAGTTGCTTTTAATCAAAGTGACCTCACACTCTCACTCAATATGACAACACCTTATCCGCTCATCCCATATTCTAGATTGGTTGACAGATTCAGCCCTTAGGATCTCTAGAGTAGGGCTCTCGGAGGGGATGACGAGGCTGTGTGGTATTCCTTACTTCTGTACTTTAGAGCATTGATGTTCGACAAGGAGAATCCATCCAAATTTCTCACCATCCCAAACCGCATTGCAGTAGCATGCTTCGGTAGCACTATTCTCCGCTGCTTTGGCTTGCTTGATTCTATGCGGAGTGCCGTCAGGTCTTTGGCATTAGATGGTGAGATCATTGCCCCCCTAAGCGGTTATCGGAAACTGATCCCGGGTCGTGATATCAAACCCGGCGGATATGCGACAAATGAGTCGCAGCACCGTGACAGCTTCCATATAGCTATTCTTGAGAACCCAGGTTTGGACTCCCAGGTAGAGTATGAGGTTACTAAGGTGTGTGGTGTACCATTTCCATGTATCCACTCCCACATTTCTAATATACTGTCATTGTGTGTAGCCGAGTGGAGTTTCTGGTCTGGTTGATCTTGTTATAATATCGCCTAGCCACTGTGTAGTTACACAATGGAAGGCGGTTCCAATTGACCTTTTACATCTTGGAGACTCTCGCAGTCAGGATGAGAAGGCTGAAGTTCTAAGCAAACTTGGTGTTAACGAAGTTTTGGATCTCAAGTTTCACAAGCAAGAGAAGTACAGGAAGGAAAAAATCCGCGGTTGGATCAAAAAAGAGGTTACTGCTCAACTGAGGAGCTATTTACTGAGCCCTGAGATCAGAGGGCTGGCTGGATCTCGTACGTTTCACGCACACCTTGTCCTGGTTGTTGGGTCTTGCCAGATTTTAGTCTGGCAAATGGACGAGAAGGTCAACTGGATTGGCCCGTCTGATTTGGCCTAGGAGATGTTGTGCGCAGTTTTCCCGTCCCCCAACTTTCACTGTATTCCTCACGTAATAAAATTCTACATTTATTTTTTTGACGCATGTTTCATTTTACCTATTATATTCTATCGTGTGTCTCCCAATATGATAGGCCAAAGCTTAATCTCATACTGTAACTTCTATAGACCTGTGGGGGGCTCTACTATTATACGCCTAAAGACCGAGAATGCCGGTAGGCAAGTGACAAGAGACAGGATCCCAGCAAAGAGACAGGTCCAGAAGGAATGAGAACTCGGGAATGAGAATTCGAAGTGGCCCACGTAAGGTTTCTCCATTGTTTATCGGTATTAGTGTCTGCCTTGTTATTAGGAACTTCTACCCAGCCATTAGTCACTTATTAGCATTGATGTACAAGTATCTCGATGGTGGAGAAAAGTCAGAATAAAGATCTCACCATGGGTGTTTTCAAGTGCGCATGGACAGATACGTTATGTATGGGCCTAAGACTTAATGTGTCACCTGGTTTCGTGGTGTAGTTGGTTATCACACCAGTCTAACACACTGGTGGTCCCCGGTTCGAGCCCGGGCGAAATCAATTCTTTTTCTTTTTTTTCCCTTCCCCCCTCGTGTCGGTCATCGCTTTTGCCCTGCACTACCATGAGCCCAGCCCCATCCACATACACCATTTCTTCCATACCTCCTGCTCCTCCCGGACGCGGCGCCATGTGTCCTTCCACAAGCCCGAAGCGTAGATGCCACTCTCTAGTCAAAATCCGATCCGATATCGAAAATTGTGCGCGCATCTACGACGGTTGGCGCCAGAGACTTCCATACCCACCCCCCTCCCGAAGAACACCGCCGTCTCTCGCTGTCCTCCTTGTTTCCCCCTCTTCTCTCCCATCTCGCAAAGTCACCGGTGTATAACTCGCCAAGTGCGCCAAACAACCTACTGGCACGTATCGTACCAGGCCAGCGGAACATTTCCCCTATAATTTTACGATAATATTATTCTCGTGATATCCTCCTCGGTGTGGATTTGGGGTTATCGGTACCGGAATCATGCGTCGTTGGGGGAAGGGGGGTGCACGCGAGCCGGCCACAAGGTTGGTGATGAGGAAATGGAAACAAGCAGGATTTGGGGGTGTACAAGGTACGGAAAGGTGGAAGGGTGCCACAGTAGGTTAAGTATACGGTAGAGGAGAATTGTGGTGCAGAATTCATCTACGAGCTCCATAAACACACATGTTGAACAACAAACCCTCGGAGGTTGTAACTCGAGTGATCAGCCATGATGAGTGATACTGTGCACCCGCGAACAAAAATGTCTAACGCGAAAAGCCAAAGTATATCATCCGTACTTATTGCTCAACAGAAACAACTGACCAACTAACATACCCCAAGGGCCGAAAAAGCAAGCGTAGCTAAAACTGTAAATTCAAACGTCCCCACCCCCATATCCCACATTTATCAAAACCATTCACCCCCATCGCTACCTACTTTCCCCACCATATGCTCCGGCTCCCGGGCGGCAGTATCGAGGTTAGTCCTATCCTCGGAAGAACCAGTTGGTTGGTCGGATGCGATCCCCCCGAGCTTCTTCTGGTCCACGAGGCTAACTTCGCCGTTCTCGCCGAGAAGGTCGGTCTCGACCATTCTAGCGATCCGTGTCTCTTGAGCGGAGGGGTCTTCCATGACATTGTCTTTCCACCCATCAACCACGGATAGGCTACCCGCAACCTCTTCAGTTAAGCTGCTGACCTTCGCGTCCAGCTTTCTACCGGTTCGGCATCTTCGCTGCTCTCAGCCTCTGCTTCCGCTTTCTTATCACTCCCACTCCGACCGATCTCTAAACTACCTCCAGCGCCCTCCGCCCACCCCAGCTCCACCGCCAGTCTTCGCACCCCCGATCGCACCCGCCCAGAAATAGTGCGTCATCCATCCGGCCGCCAATCGCCCCTGCCCTCTCATTGTTGATTAAAACTCTGACCGCCCCCTCCCTCACCCGTGCGGGAAGCGCCGCAAACGGGTAAACGCGCAATGAGCTCCCCATTACGATCACCAAGTCCGCCTCCTCGACCATTCTAAGCCTCATATGAGACTCCCCGGCAAGCTCTTCCCAAAGAATACGATATTCGGCTTCACCAATCCGGTGCAAGTCTCGCACTGAGGATCACTCCCGGCGAGAGGGTGCTTCTTCATCCTATCGGCGGGGTACTCGGCATGACACTTGATGCACGACTGCCCCGCAAACGAGCCGTTGTCTTCGACAAGCTTCTCCGGCGGAACCCCAGCGGCGCGTTCTAGCCCGTCTATGTGCTGATTGAAGCACCTGTGAAGGCAGGTTCTTCTTCGCCGTTAGCGATACGAAGGCGTGTGTGACGGCCGGGGTGAATTGGCCACGGTGCAGATTTCGAGAGGGTGTAGAAAGATTGGGGATTGGTGCGGAAGAAGTTTATATCGAAGGCGGCCTCCGGGTGAGGGAGGTTCAGAGTTTGGAGTTTGGAGCAGTGGCCTGTACCCAGTGTGCGAGAGTCCGAAATACCAGCGGAGGTAGAGATTCCGGCATCCCACTATGAGATATGTTAGCTTGTGGTGGGGCTTTGGGAAAGAGGGGTATAGTACCAGAAAGACTGTCTTTTCGCACTCCCCGCCGAGAATGAATCCCGCCACCCCAAGAACGTCCCGGCGGAAGAGCGTCTCGGATTGGTGTCGGAATCGACCTACGTGGACAGTTCGGCACCCATTTGTTCCTTTTTGAAAGTTTTCTGCCTTTTTCTAGGCTGGGGAACGGTAGTAAGAGGGTGAGGTAGAAGGAAGCTTCCTGGCAGCGGGATGGTTGGCGCGGGGGGGGGTCACCTTAATCTTGGCGAAAATAGCCTCACTTTAAAGTTAGTTGGCAACAGAGGTTGAGCACCATGGGCGGGATGATGTCGTTCACCGCTGTTAGTCCCGGCATCCTTCCTTCGTCTACCCGCAACAGTCAAATTCACAGCCAGTTGTGCTAATGCCAGATTTGGCAAAAGCTAGCCGAACCTGGTCAGAAAATCGGATTCTCGGGTCCTTTCAGCGATCAAGTGACTCAGCACTCTAGGCGAAGGTATTATTCTCACTATCTACCGTACTTATGCTCTGGGGGATCGCCGAAAACTTGAACCTAGCGATATCCTTGTTCTGGCGGCTATGGAAACTAGAGGTCTTGCGGAGACAGTCGCAACTAGCAGTAAGCTACTAAGTTAGGTATGATATCGCAGAACAACATGATAATAACGACCGCATTAGCCCAATTCTACATGAACCCATTGACATAATAAAAATTCCTTCTGAACCTTGGGTCTCACTTGTTCAGTTGGGTGAAGCTTCGAAGCCGCTAGTCTAGAGGTTCGATTTCTTCAGCATTGTATCCCTTTGCAGGAAACATTGTTGTCCCATCAAATAATCCCTAGATCGCCATCCAGGAACCCCGAGTACCCATATAGTTTTAACCGTACTTACAATGAAATTGGACCAATGACGAACAGGGATATGTACCAAGTAATTTTTTTTTGCCCCCCCTATGACTACTTCTCTTTTGTCCAACAAATGCCCTGCCGTTCGCCATCAGCACAGTTTCGTCTTGGGCACGGCAATGTTACTACGAGCGCAAGTATGGTCCCTTCAATCCAACAAAAGCCAATCCTCTAAGGTACTTGTTATGATATCAATATGTTACAAAGTAAATAAACGTCCCAAATTTCCCTTCTTCCCTTAACCTCAACCTCGCTATCCGTTATCAATCAAGTTAGAAAATAAGCATAATACTGTCCTTATCTCTAAAGAAAATGCCGATCAAATTAAAATAGAGCATCCAAAAAGATGCAAAGAAATTATACAAAATAACTGGTAGTTGCTTGGATTATAGCTCTACCAAATCCAGCTGATCGAAATCTGGTGGCGGACGCCTGTACACCACTTTACCTTGGGATCCAGACCAGACTATTCGTTGCTAATCCAGACATTGTCACTAAGCCTTTGCGCACAGAGAATCTCATCATCAGAAATGCCCGGATAACTGGGCATTTCGCATGGCGGGCCTCTTTTTGGAATGCTACACCAACGAGTACGTCCCGTTCCTCCTGCGACAAGGCTTCAATCGGATCGGTAATGTCTTCAAACAACATTAGCTCGGGTCTAGTTTGCGGCCGCTTCTTTGACGGTGGACAACGTGATCGAATTTCTGAATCTCCGACGTCTAGCCCTTCGGCGTAGCCTCTTGAGCAAAAAGACTTTCCTTCCTTTTTCTTTTGGCGGACACAGCAGACTGTGCGCGTCCCATTCTTATCCACATGCTGATCTATGGCCCTCTCCCGCTTTTCCAGCTCTGCAAGAACCTCATTTAGGTCGTCGCCTGCTTGCTCCTCCGGAACGATGTTGCCACTAGCCAGCAGTCTTCGCCTTTCGTTATCATTCGCGAACTCTCCACCGCGGAGAATAGCGTCATCCTCCAGAGTGTTGGGTAAGTAGGTTAACATCGGACCGAAAGCCGAGTTCACAGTATATTGGTATAGGACAGTAAAGATCATGACAACAATAATGATGATTCCCTGAAGAAAGCAATCAACACTATGTTCAGTACCCCGGACAAGGAAGAAGAGACCAATCAAACAAACCTCCATAACATATACTCCCGTAAACAACTAGTTGACCGCTCTAGGGAAGAGCAAACCTCTCGTATCGAACTGAAAGCTGCGGACGCAGAGAAGAGTATATCTATACACCATCCAAAAAAGACAGAAAGTGCAGACATTGAAGATGAGAATCAATGGGGAAATTCACACATAGCGGGAAGAAAGTGCCCCATTGCATCCGAGCAAGCTGTGTCGCCCGGGTGAACTTTTGACGAGCACTAGAGTCAACAATCGGACTAAGAATGAATTGCACAGGTAATGTCCCAATTTATACAATTGTTCCACCACTGGCAGTGAAGGCTTGTAGTGACAGGTATGAGAAGAAGTCGGACGCCTGCGGTAAATTCTAGGCTAAAGTTGATGGCACAGATGCAATGTTGTCCGCTAATTTCTGGAAAACGGTGGTGATACCGGATGATATATTGACAACGAGGAAAATCCGAATAAACAGAAAAATAAAAGACATTCCCCGAATAGCCCTCTCGATGGCCATACCAGCGCGACCCTCCTGAAGCTTGACAAATGCACGAAGGATAGCGCGTAACAATGCCATCAAAATTTCCAAACCCAATGGAGGAAACCCACCTTGGATCAGACCGAGAACAGAGTTTGCAAGCTTATCGATCCAGCTCAGCCATGCGAAAGTTTCCGTGATATAATCAATCTGTGAAACCAAATCGACAATGGCGGCCAGGAAAGCCCAGCCAATGATCAAACCGCCGGTGGCTATAGTAATACCGGCAATACCATAGGAACTCGAATAATTGGGCCCTCTCTCCTTTCGTTGAGCTTTCCTCTCTCAGTAAGGTCAAGAAATTGACCTCCTTTTTTTTCTGGGAAAGGGGCTGTGTTTTCGCAGTGTTTTTTGGCTCCTTTCCATACAAGGAAATTTCGGACTACATGAAACCGGGTCCGATTATTAGAGTTCTTATGGTACGCAAATACCTCTGTAAACAAGAAATCCTCATATTGTGCCATGTGACAACATCCGGAGGACCCCAATGTGGCCAGGGCACATATGCTGCGGGATGTGATGAGAAAGCGACTGATACGCCATATGCGCGGCAACTTGCTAGTTGAACTGGATAAAATCAGAGTTCATGGGTGGGTACTTTTCGGGTGAGCTCGGGTCCTGCTCTATAGACGGGCAACCTCCTTCCGACCGTAGTAAATTGTGTCCACCTTCTTCCCAATGAGCGGGAGAGAAGGCAACCATTTCACACCAAAAGGGGGCAGAGTAATCGTGGGCCTATCCTTTGATGAAAGGTACTGCTTCACAATGGGCCTCCATCCTCGTCCTCAGCGAATGTCTCACTGAAAGCCTTGGGATACCCCTTGATAGGACCTTCGGCTGGTAAATCCATAGAATGAGTCGTATACGGTGATGTAGGTGAACGATAGTTGAAAGTAATTTCATCATCATCGCCTTTTCCATGATCGCCACTGACTTTGGATCTCATTTTCCAAAACACCTATCGAGGAGGTGCATCGACTGCTGCCTGCTGACTTCCCACAGGGTGAGGGGTTGGCAACGCCGGTATTACTCGTATCAATGGCAGGTAGGGTCCGAGTCTGTTGGGGGCTGCCGTTACTATTTTCCCTAGACACAGCTTCATTTTGGGCAAGTGTTGATCCCTTCTTTCTTTGTGTTCTATCCTCGCGAGTGAGACCGGGTTCCCGAGTTTCACCAGTTTCCCGAAGTTGCAGGGGACGTTGTTTACAAGCGACAGGGGGTTTGGCCCACCCGCTTGATATCCCTACGCCGCACCGGGCATGTGATCTTCCACCTCACCCCTCAGCCGCCTTACGCCACCAGTTATAGTGCTAATGCCACAGATCACGCAGTGCCCGAGTCTGTGAATCCCATCATCGACAACTCCGATGGGATTGACCTTAGTACACCGCTACCCGCTTCTATTGGCTTTCTTGTCACGCCTATGACAACCGAGATCTTGAGGGATCTAGTGGGGATTTCTAGAAGATAAGCTAGGTCCATTAGAAGTATCCCCTCTCCCCGTCGCTGGATCGGTAATCTGCGCTTTTTCTGCAGCAGAACTAGCCTTCTTGCTTAATTCCATCCTTTTCTTCTTCTTGGCCATTTTAATCAATTCCATTTCCACAGCTTCGAGATTTTCAGCCATTTTATTTCTCTCCTCGACATTCTCCTGATGTTCCTCGTCATCACTAACATAATCAACCCAACCTTATCGGGGGGAAGACCTACCGGCTAGTCTAAATATTCCGAACCACACCAGGAAACAAACCATACAGCCCAACCAGCGCTTCAACCGTCAACCACGTTCTCGGAACACTGGAAACCAGAACCGTACAACCGTAGTAGCGCGGGCCCGGCGTCTGTGCAGTGGGGAAGTCAAATACGCCTGTCGCAGCCGGATTTGCACCCAAAGTTCACAACTGAGGATAGAACAGAATAAGATAACCACGCCAACTGCCAACAAATGGCGTTTGACCATATTTTCCTGGCCTGTCTTGGTTGACATATCTCCTTCCAAGAACCATATTCATCGCCCGGGGTGTCTTACCCCACTAGCCTCACATTTCCCTCATGCCCTTTCCTAGCGGCCCACGAGAGTGCTATTGGACGAAAGCAATTATCCGGTTTGTCGGGAATGATTGTACGCTGTTCCAATAGCAGTTTCGTTACCTCCTCTTTCCCGCAAATCGTAACCAATATGAGCGGCTTAATACCGAGAAAATCCGTATTGTTGAGATCGGGATTTGATTGATCCACGAGAGAGGTTGCGATCTCCACAATTCTGAACATTGGTGCACAATGCATTCCAGCGGACCTGATCAGATGATCGCTGACAGGGATAGGACCAATATATCGACCGGTCTTCGAAATGAGATCAGCCAAAAGGAACTTGGTAGATATATGGCTTTCAACCTGGCTAAAAGGGTTGGGCGCAAGTGATACCACATCGCTTAAGGCATCTTGCCTAGCGTGGGCCCTCAGTTTAAGGAAGAATATTTGAGTAAGGGAGTATGTTGAGGGAGGGACAAGAGTGTGGGATGGATCTCCCTGATTGCGTGAAGGTTGAGGTATGTGAAGTAGGATTTTGCCATTAGTGTGTGAGCGGAGTTAAAAAGGTTGGGGCAGGTGTACAGGTACTCCTGGAGAGTGAAGTGCATCAAGCGAACAGTCAATGCCTCCCTCTCTATGACAACGAGCCCTAAGGAATTGCTCAATAGCGTCTCCACCGGAGGAATACTCTCGGGATTAAGATCCGTGGATCCTACCTCGACGGGTGTGGCGTGGAAAAGCTCATCAAGTTTTAACAACCGCTTCGAATGCGAGATCCATATCAGCGCTGCCACCCCCAAGCCTTGCTTTCTCCCCACCCTGTTCCTTTGTTCGCTCTAGAGTCGCACCATAAACACCCTCCAAATTTAATCCATACGCCATTGCCCTGAGCCTTTGTCGCCTACAATAGGCTATGGCTTCCCCAAGGATCGCATCCATCGTTAGGGGAATCCGTAGAAATCAAGATTTATTAGTAACAAAGGCGTGAAAAGGCTTTGGATAATGACGGCCACCTACGTTTCAGGAATATTCTGGGCGACGGTTTGGATGATCTCGGCCTCCAGACAATCGTCCATCACCTCTGGGTATGTAACCATACTCAATTCCATCTGAATATACCCCCCGATATTATCATTACTCGGTTTTATGGATAAAATTGCCGCTCTTCCGCCAAGATGCCTTTTAATCTCTCTCCGGATGTGTCGCCTTCCGGTGAGGGATATTCGTTTATTTCGTGATCTCCCGAGGATTTGTCCTAACGGATCTAGAACTCTACGTCGATAAGCTTCCACAGATTCATCCCGAGCGTCAACACATATATATTGCGGCTGTAAAGATGTGACAGTTTGCAACATCTCCACAATTTCCGGCACTCGAAGACACCTTCCACCTATGACCTTTTTTTTAACCTCGAAAGATCTAGGTTATTTCGTCCGGGATCCTTTCCAGTCCATCAACAATTTGTTTCGATAGTGAGCCTACTTTGGCTTCTTTCCAGAAAGTCTGTAATGTCTGTAATGGAAGAAAGATTAAATAATAGGTATACTTACGATGGAAGTGAGGCATGATGGTTGTTGGCGGACTCTTGGTTAGAGTTCGTTACGGGGCCTCCGGGGCCCTGAAAAACCCAGGCCCCCGGCCCCGTTCCCCGCCCTGGCCCGCTCACTGGCCCAGGGCGGGGAGTTTTTGCAGGTTTCCCCTGCCCCATAACCCGCGAGGGGCCCCCGTCAAATCTGGGTGGCAAGAAACGGGGCCCCGTCCAGGAAAGGACCAGGGTTGGGCCCTAGACGGGGGCGGGGCGGGGAGGACCTACAAAATACCCCCCCGGGCCCGTGTAACGGCGGGGCCCCCAAGCTCAAAACCCGCCCCACCCCGCCCCGTAACGAACACTACTCTTGGTGATCAAGTAGAATGAGGACGGGGAAATTGAGGATGAGGAGGAAAACTTTCATCAAGTAGACTGGGGGAGCCCTTAGCGTGACGTCCCCAGGGAGGCTTGGTAGTAAAGAAGGAGCATGTTCACGGTAGTACGAACCAACCAAAACCGCCCGCTAATATTTGCCAAGCCTCGCTAAGGGCTCCCCCGGTCTACAACTGCAAATCGCTTAAAACGTTTTTCCACCCCAAACCAACCCAAAACCTAAAATCGGATGGGAATCCACAAAGTCATAATTTCACAAAAGTCAAACCGCTGCAGGATAGCTAAGATCCGGCCCCTATGTACCAGGGGGTTTATTTTTTGTTAGAAGCGAAAATTTGGAGAGTCAATTGAATGTATGCTCGAGGATTTTAGGTGATTGTGAAACAAGTTCCCAGATATTCGCAGCACAGAATACTATGTAAAAGTAGTCGGTACGAGTACTTGGTTGACTGGTGGGCATGTCACAGAGCGGACACTCATTAAACTAGCAATTTGGTGCGGTTGTCATTGATCCTGTTTCTAACCTAGTTCACCTTTTAAGCGATTCGCACCGAACTATGACACATCTCTACAAGTATCATACCCCCGCCCTGCCCCTGTCTTGACCCCTTTTACCTATTTTGCTGAACCCTGTGTTTAAGTTCTTCATGCAGGAGTATCTGCGGTAAGCGGGTTTCGTGGTGTAGTTGGTTTTAACACCACAGAAACCCCGAAACAGCCCAAAAGGTACTCGAGCAATCAAGCTTTCACCCTTAACCTGAATAGGGAGGCGGAGAGTCAGTCTTTGGTTGAACACCACTACCGTACACCATTAAACCCCCTGAGGGGTCAACGAGGCAGCATCCTCAGCGAGGCATGGCATTTCTTGGCTAGCAAAAACCCCAGAGTAGCGGATTCCGGATAGGTTTACCTAGTACAAATTTATGATAATTATTAACCATAGTAGACCGGCTCTCGCTAGCCAAGAAATGCCATGCCTCGCTGAGCCCCCACATGGTCTACACAACCGACCCCGCTCTCCCCCCACGAGACCCAACTCAGCAAACATTTGTAGGGGCCGAACCGCATATCCCGCACATCCTACTAGCCCCTCCTGGGATCCATAGAGAAGAGGTATCCAGCTGTGGTGCCAAGAGTTTAACCGAAAGCCAAAAGCGGTAGTCCGGAAAATCAAAGATGAGCCCGCTATTGGATGTCATAGTGGCGTCTATTGCGAATACATATATATTCACTGCTCAAACTTGACAACGAGTGATGGCTAATGATGATACAACAAGAGATCTATGGTGATGCGACTAGCTTTGGAGTCGCCATTCCATAAAAGTTATGTCTACGCAAGCCAAGAGACTAGGTGCACATCTTTCTCTATTATCTACCATACCCTTTTATGATCACTGGCGGTATTATTCGTGTCTCAATAAGCTATACAACCGGACTATGTTGGACCTCATATCATAAGCTATTTCACCAGAGTGATCTTTCATGATGGCAGATACAACAGT